TAATTCGAGAAGTCCTAAAAGCTCTGAGAGGACCAAAGCAGATTGCAGTGGTACATGTTCGAGGTCATCAGAGGGGATTAAAAGTTGCAGTGAGAGGAAATAACTTGGCTGATGCTGAAGCAAAGAGGGCAGCCTTGCTGGTAACGACTGATCAAGAACTAGAAAGCAAAGAAGTTTTGAAACGTTTTAGTAGTCAGGAGAAGGAAAAGTTGTTGCAAGTTGGAGCAAGGGAAGAGAATGGTAAATGGTTATTGTCAGATGGTAGAGAAGTAGTCCCAAAAGGTCTAGCTCATAAGGTGATGAGTAGGTTGCATGAACAGACCCACTGGGGTACTCAGGCCCTAGTGGATCAGTTCGAGAACAAGTATGTGTGCATTGGAGTTTATGGTATAGCCAAAAAGGTCTTAGAAGGGTGCTTAACTTGTAAGAAGGTGAATAGAGGGCAGTTGAGAGAGAAAATTAAAGGAGGAAGAGAATTAGCAAAAAGATCATTTGAAAAGATCCAGGCTGACTTTACAGAATTGCCAAAGGTGAGAAGATATCAGTACTTATTGGTGTTAGTGGACCATTTACACACTTTGTTGAAGTCTTTCCTACTGCTCGATGCACAGCCAAAGTCGTAATCAAAATCTTGTTAGAAGAAATTATCCCCAGATATGGTATAGTCACAGTAATAGACTCTGATAGAGGAACCCACTTCACCTCCAGAATAATTAAAGAGACCACGGAGTTATTTGGAACCAAGTGGGAGTATCATGCCCCTTGGCACCCACAGAGCTCGGGGCGAGTGGAGAGAATGAATGGAGAGATAAAGAAACACTTAACCAAATTGATGTTAGAGACAAAAACGAACTGGGTGAAGTGCCTTCCTCTGGCACTCTTGCATATTAGAACACAACCCCGAATGGACACAGGAATTTCTCCATTCGAGATGATGTACGGTATGCCCTATGAATTTGGAACTCCCCTAGATAACCCAAAAGTTGAAGATGCTTTCCTCAAGGAGTATATTGTTGAACTGATGAAAAGGAGACAAGAGTTAAGAAAAAGGGGACTTGTAACTCAGAGACCACCTTTAGATATGTCCATTCATAGGTTTCAGCCAGGTGATAAAGTACTAATTAAAACTTGGAAGGAGACCTCATTAACTCCACGTTGGAAGGGGCCTTTTGTTGTTCTCCTCACTACAGACACTGCCGTTCGGACAGCTGAGCGAGGGTGGACCCACGGGTCTGGAGTCAAAGGGCCGATAAGAGACTCTGAGTGGACTGTGACTTCTACCCCCGGAGACCTGCGAATGAGAATCAGGAAGGTGCTGCCAGCAGATGAACCCTAATGAGGATATAGTAAGACCCAACTTATACACTTTCTTCCAGGTACCCCAAGGACAGACAGTAAGGAAAGTACATTTCGCCTCCTGGAATTTGGAAGGGATACCTGAACAGACTGGAGGCTCAGGATTGTATAAAGTAGCAGGAACACAAATTGTTCTTCCTCTTTGTTGTGAGGTGGAAACGGACATACCAGAGGGACGTAATCCACACGGAATACCTTGTATCAAACATCCTGAGTCTACTCATTATAGCTGGCTGGTGTGTAAATGCAGAAAGTGTGGAAGAGAGTGGCGCTGTGTTTCAATTAAGGGACAATCCTATTGCATAAGATGTAGAACGGGTTCTACAGAATCAATTAGGGAACAATTGGCGAATGCAGAAATTATAAAGGCATTCTGTGGTTGGGAGTGGCTTGTCCCAAAGACTTGGGAAATATACGAAACTAATTGGAACAAAGCACTAACAGAGTTGTGCCGTACCAGATTCTCTTGGAAACTAGCAAAGCCAAGTCGGAGAAGGTATATGGAATTGCTAGGATTGATTGATAGAATTCAAAATCTTGAAGTAAATGAGTCTCATCCTGAATCAGTAGAACGAAATTAAGAAAAACTGAGTTAGTCCCCTGAAGGCTAACGCTGCTGTCAAGAAGAGTCACAAACCTCATTGTTCCCTGCACAGGAACAGACGAAGGGAGACAGAGGGATAGAACGTGTGGGGAAAGTTAGCTCAGAGCAGTTACCACTGAAGAAAAGGAAAAGAGACCCAATTCAAAATGGAACAGAATCTGGTACTGATCATTACCGTAATAACTTTAACAAGCCCTCTGGAGAACACCCACCAACCTTTTGAATGGACCTTGACCCGATCAGGAGACTCAAAAATCATCCGAAAGGTGATAACTGCGATTGGTCCTAAATTTAATGTGACAGTTTGCGATCTCCTAATGGCTAATATACCACAGGAATGTGGAAAGGGAGGTGGAAAACCATCAATCACAGTAAACAACGGGGCCACATTGGTGTCCAAACTCCAATCCAGGAAAGTCCTATTGTAACTATCCTGGACACTATCACTGTGGATACTGGGGCTGTGAGACCATTGCCACTGCTCGGAGACCTGAAAGACCAGATAAATATTTGAAAGTACAATGGGGACCTCCACATTGTGAGCCTCCTGCACTTGGAGGGTTAGTGACTCCGTATGAGACATCAAATTGCGAATACCTGCAAATACAGGTCATGAATCATGAAGACCGAGGGTGGTTGACTGGAAAAACTTGGGGAGTGAGGTTGGATAGACTTTCCACAGATCCAGGTACATATGTAACTATAAGAAAACAGCCATTAACTATGTATTCTCAATTACTAGGACCTAATTTAGAAATAAAGAAACCTAGAGATAATGACCAAGGAAAAGAAAAGGTAAACAAAGTCCCTGCTGACCCAGTACCACCAGAATCTAAAAGTGCCCAAATTTCTCGTACCAGATCACCTGAAAAGGTAAAGATATCACCAGGAGAAACAGAATCGTTGTTGAGTATGATAGAAGCACCTTATAAAGCTATAAATTATACTGAACCTGAAATGACCGAGTCTTGTTGGTTGTGCTACAATGTAAGACCTCCTTTCTACGAAGGAGTGGGGTTAAACCTCACTTTTAACTTGAGCCAGGAGGATAACCCTCATCAATGTAGATGGGGTGAGAAGAAAATAGGACTCACCAGGTTACAAGTTAGTGGACAAGGAACATGTATTGGAAATGTCCCTCCAGATAGCAACGAATTATGTGGTACCAAAATGGATAAAATAAAAGGAGAAGGGAATAAATGGGCTATACCACATCAAGGTGGATGGTGGATATGTTCCAAGACTGGTCTAATTCCATGTGTGTTTCTACCTGCATTTGATAAGAGTGACGAGTTCTGTGTACAGATAACTGTACTGCCTCGCATGCTGTATCGCTCCGAGGAGTCTGTTCTCAAGTATTGGGAAGTGAATAAGCATAAAATTAAAAAATGAGAACCAATAAGTGTAACCATTGCTATGATCCTGGGGTTGGGGGCCACAGGTGCTGGAGTTGCATCCCTGGTGCAACATAGTCAAGGATTGACTGCTCTGAGAGCAGCAGTGGATGAAGATCTAGACAGGATCGAGAAGTCTATTTCATATTTAGAGACTTCTCTCAATTCCCTTTCGGAAATAGTTTTGCAAAATAGACGAGGGCTGGACTTGCTGGACAACAGGGAGGTCTGTGTGTAGCCCTGGGAGAAGAGTGTTGTTTTTACGCAAATCACTCAGGAGTTATTAAAGAATCCATGGCTAAGTTGTGCAAAGGGATAATACAGAGGAAGAAAGAGAAAGAGACTCCACAAAGCTGGCTGGATGACTGACATAGTCAGTCTCCTTGGCTGACAACTATAGTTTCAACCCTCGCAGTTCCCTTGATGATGTTGTTCGCCACCCTGACCTTTGGCCCATGTATTTTTAATAGAGTTGTGAATTTTGTTAAGAGTAGAATTGACACCGTACAATTAATGACAGTAAAACAGCAGTGTGAAGATATGAGTGGAAAATCCTCAAGTGAGGATCAAGCCTCTCTTTTAGAAGTGGTCAGAGAAGCAGTGATTGAATTTGACCAGTAAATTTATGAGGAAATCAGAAGGGGGGAATTGTTATAGGTAATCATAGAGTAAATCTGCTGATCAAAATTGAAGGAGTTAATAAAGTTATTATGTTATTATTAAGTGCCTTGTTGTAATCACAAGTTCAAGTGTTATGTAGTAACTAACCATAAGATCTGTAAGCTGCAGACTAACAAACCACAACACAACGATGACTTGGCATATTGTCTTATGCTGTTCTGAAAGTGTTTGCTCTGAGTATATTAATAGAAAGCAATATGGAGACAAACACGAGGAATCAGGCTGATCAACCGTCACCCCGGTGGAAATTTCCAGCACACGGCCTATGGAGATTATGGACCCCTGGACTATTGGTTGGTGCCCCCAGTAACAGGACAGGCCCGCGAACGGAGGAACCAACCTGGAACGAGCCCGCGAAAGAGGAACCACACAGGACTTAGCCCACGAAACCACAAACCAATGGACTAATGACGTGACACTGGGGGAGGTGGCTGAAAGAGGGTATAAGAAGTGCTCTTTTTCGTTCCCCTTTTGCGGACTGCGGCAGGAACAAGGGGTTTCCTCTGGTCACCCGGCTGGCCGTTTTTGCTTATTTGTGGCTTTAATAAATTCGTTATTCCTTGCAACCTAAATTTATAGCCGCTTACTTATCACATAAAACCTCCTCCCTGGAGCACAAACCGGGCCATTTGCAGTGGGACCTGCTGGGGGAGCTGCCCTGGTCCCCGTGGCTCTGCTCTCTGGGGACAGGGAGCCTTTGGGGACTCTCTCACAAGCCACCCCCACTCATGTCCTGCTGGTCACCCAGGTGGCCCTGGCAGTGCTTGGGAACATGACTGGGATGGGGGGTGTGCCCACCCGTGCCAGCAGGGAAGGGCACAAGTTCCAGGGGGGATGTCCAGGGAGACAGGACACTGCAGAGGAAGGGCCTGGGGGGTGCAGAGTGACAATAGAGAGGGGAGGGCGGATCTTTGGCATCCCCTCCTCTGCTTGCTTCAGGCTTCAAGAAGACACCACAGGAGAAATCCCATGGAGAAATATTTATTGATCAAAGACTATTAAAAGCCTCAGAAACAGGGGGGAAAACGTCCTTCCTGGGGGACACCAGTCCAAGGAAGCTCCTGGTTTCTGTCCAGGCAGGAGCAGGTGCCCGTGGGCTCCAGGGGGTCAATGCAGATAAAATCACTGGGGGGGCTCCTTCAGCAGCAGCATTTAATGCATTTGGACAGGCCAGGGACCATCTCCATGTCCTGCACAGAAGGGCTTCACCCTCCTCAGGATCCCTGAGTGACACAATGACACCAAAACCCAGGAATGACAGAGCAGCTGCACCCACTAACTTGGATTTTTCCTTTTTCAAATGTCATTTAACTCACTAAATCCATCTCTTGCCTAGGAATGGTACAGCACAGTCAGGCACATAAAGAAATGGAAGGGCCAACACCCATTTACCAATTCCAAATTTTAATGCTTGAAAGAAAGGCCCATTTTCCTTTTGCCCTGTGCCACCACCAACAGGAATCGTTTCTGACTAAATTGTCCTTTCCTCTTATTTCAAACCCAACACGCCACTCCAGGATCTCCCAAGACATCCATTTTCTCCCTCCCAGTGTCCATGGAGCAGAGGTTCAGCTGGGGATGACACCTCCGGGCCCTCCCACACACCTTCCAAGGGCAGGAGCCTTCCTGCCTGGCCGGGAGCCCTGGGGGGAGTCCAGGCTGTGGCAGCTCCTGTTTGTCCCTTCCCCACGCACATTCCAAATCCCTGCTCTCACACTAAACCCTCCAAAGCTTTCCAAACCCAAATCCTTTCTTCTGCTCCTCTCTCACTGGGACCATTTCTGCCTCCTTCCCCTGCAGCTGGAGGAACCTCCCCAGCTGCTGCTGCTCCCTGGCATCAAACCACACCTTCCCAAACCCTGACTATTGCTCAGTTCAAAGAACAAATCTAGAGATTTCAGTTCACTTCTCTTTTCTCTGACAAAACAACAGCAACTGAAAAACCGTATTATAATCCACAAACTGAATCTCTAATTCACTAATCACTAATTGAAGATCGGCACAATTAACACAAATCCAACCCCTGCAAACACTAAAGCTGACACTAAAGAATGCTCTGAACACACAATCCCAGCTTAACAGCTGCTGTGGCAATTTACCTTCCTTCAAATATTTCATGTGCACCAAATGCTTTAAAATGCACACAAGAACAAACTACTGCATTTAACACTCTACAACAAGTGAATTTTTTCTTTTTTATATCTATTATGGGCATCCCCGAGTCAGACAGGATTCTAATACTATAACACACACTCCCAGTAACACACACTCCCCAAACACTTCACTTTCTCCAGCACTGACCATTGGGTTTGACAAACACAGTTCCCTGAGCAAAGCCCTCCCCAAAGCAGCTCTATGGGCAAGAGCTCTGTGTGTGACTGATCTGTGGGCAAAGCACACCTGGGGCCTGGAACCCACCCCCTGACCCACACCTGGGGCCTGGAACCCACCCCCTGACCCACACCTGGGGCCTGGAACCCACCCCCTGAACCACACCTGGAACCTGGAACCCACCCCCTGACCCACACCTGGGGCCTGGAACCCACCCCCTGACCCACACCTGGGGCCTGGAACCCACCCCCTGACCCACACCTGGGGCCTGGAACCCACCCCCTGAACCACACCTGGGGCCTGGAACCCACCCCCTGAACTACACCTGGGGCCTGGAACCCACCCCCTGAACCACACCTGGGGCATGGAACCCACCCCTCTCACTTAGTCAGTAGTGATTTCTTCTCATAAGCCAAATATCATACTCCTTCTTTTACAGTTCTATCATCACTTTCACAACCCAATTCTATTCTATTCTGTTCTAGAGCTCCATTTCTAGGATGCTTAGGTATACCTTTTCTATGCTCAGCAATGCCTTAATAAAATTCCAGGGATCTTGCTTTGAACTCACCAGATCCAGGGACTGAGATCTCCCAGAAGAATATTTTCACTGCTCGCTGGAGTCCTCAGGGTCCCGGAATCCCTGGAGGGTCGACAGCATTGTCCCACCTGGCTCACCAAGAATTGTCCCTGAAAAGCGTTGGGAAGAAATGAAACCCTCCAACGCCCCTGGGAAGTGTTGGTGAGCCAGGCACTGCTTTGTTCTGGCTCCCAGAGACAGGGAGCCAATCGTTCCAGCCACGCCTGTCCCTTTCCAGACTTTTCACACATTTATACATTTGAACAAACAAACAAATTAATGTTCATTGCTTCTAATTTACCCCAATTAATGAACTAAGGAATTATCTTCATTAATTAAGACTCTAATCAGTATTCTATCCTTAACTGGCTAATTTGGTCCACTTTCTTTGGTCCTCTTAGCACTCCTCCTCAGACACAGAGTCTCCAACTCTCAGACTGCAATGTCTTTGTTAATCCCCTCTGGACCTTCTGGTTCCTCCAACATGTCCTTGAAGGACCAGGAATTTAAGATCCCAGATGTCCAATCTTCAGCTCCCTCGGGCTTTGTTTATGGAAGCTCATCAGAGCCAGTGCAGAGAAACTCCAAGTTTGGGTGCTTTAAAGATCAAAGCGACAAGAGCCCGTGAAAAGAAACCCGGTCAACTGCTGCCACTGACTACAATTTGAGGCAAGTTGGATCATTTCCAACAAGACCAACCCCCACCGCGGGGGGGGACCCCGCATCCCCCCGCCCACCGCCGGGGCTCTGCCGGGAACCGCCACCGGGACACCCCTAAAACCAAATCACCTCCCGCGGACCCCCCACGATCCCCACAAGGGGCATTTGCGGCTCAGCTTTGGAGTCCTCCCAGCTCCAAATGTCTTCCCCTGCAAAGAACCCCCTTTCCTGCAGCCCCACCCCCAAAGCAGTGCTCAGCCAATCCGAGCGCGCAGCGCTGATGACTCATCAGTTGCCAGCCAGACCCGCAGCGCCCAGCGCTCCCCCCGGACCCCCCCAGGGTCCCCCCTCGGCCCCAGCGCCGCCCGGGACGGGAATTTGGGCAAAGGGGAGGTGGGGGGTGCCCAGGCCGGGCCCCCCCGCGCCGTCCCGGCCGTGGCGGCTGCGGCGGGGGCCGAGTGCGGGCGGGAGCGGCCAAGAGCCCAGCGCTGCCCCATCCCGACCTGCCCCAGCTCCAACGGGAATAGGAGGAGTGGGAATAGGAGGGGAGGAGAAAGAGAAGGAGGGAGAGGAGGAGGGAGAGGAGGAGGGAGAGGGGGAGGAGGAGAAGGAGGAGAAAGAACGCACGTGGATGCACCGCCCGCGTCCCGGGAGCATCGCCCCCCGCATCCCGCAGGTGACCGGAGAAGGGGAGCTCGCCCCAAATATCTTGAGGCACTCTGGGATTTGTTTTGGGGGGGTGGAGGGATTTTGGATCTTGCAGGACCCCAAAGCTGAGTCGCAAATGCCCCTTGGGGGGATATTGGGGATCCCCGGGAGGTGTTTTTTGGGGCTCCCGGGGTGGGTTCCCGGCACAGCCCCGACGATGAGTAGGGGGATGTTGGGTCCCCGGAGCCACGTGGCGGTCGCCGGATACCGGCGGGGAGTGGGGGGGACACGGGACAAACACACCGGCTTTGGGGCCCCCTGGGACAGGCGGGGGTTGGAATCTGAAACGGGGGCCCGGAGAGGGGGAACTCCCGGCAGTCTGGAGAGGAGGGAGGAGCAGCGAGGGCTGTGGGGGGAGCCGGGACCCCCGGCAATCTGGAGAGAGGGCTGGACACCTTGGGATCGCCAGCACCCCGAAGGCGAGAGTCAGGAGAGAAGGGACCCTGGGACCCCGAAACCCCCCGACCACCCTAAAAGGGACCCCGGAGAGGGGAGCCCCCGGGACCCCCGGGACCCCCAGCAGCCCAGAGAAGGGGGATCCCCAGAATGGCAAAGTGAGGAGCCCATAAAGGAAGGACCCCTGGGATTCCCGGGATCTCCGGTAGCCCAGAGAGGGCGGGAACCCTGGAGAGGGGGTTCCCCAATACATGTGAGACCTCCAGCAGCCCACACAGGAGGGACCCCAGAACCCCAAAGTGGATAGACCAGCGAGAGGGAACTCCTCCTCTGCTGAGAGGGTTGTTTTGGGCTGGATCTTGGTGTTTTGGAGGTGATTCCTGGTGATTCCAGGTGACTTCTAGAGATGGAGCTGGGCAGGAGGGTGTCAGAGACTGGAACAGTTAATGATTTATGCATTCTAAGAGACTTCTGCAGGCTTTTGACTTTCTGATGGGCAACTGGGCCCATCCCCCCTCCTCCAGTGCAGAAGATGTCAAGCCCCGAAAAGAAAAGGCGGGAAGAGACCACGAACTCCGCGCCAAAAAGGGAGACACCACCCTATGAAAACAACTCCCCACCTTGGGGGAGCTGCAAAGGATATAGATACTGACTGGTGACTTCGGGGTTTTGGCGGGGTTATTCTTCTTCTTCTCCCCCCACCGCCTGCGGATCAAGACGTCGCTGGATCCAGTGGGCAGTGATTATACCACTCTCACCTTTTTTTTCTCTTGCTCTCCCTTACTCTTACCCTGTCTTTCTCTCCCCCATGCATTTTTTTTCCTCCTCCCCCAAAAGGTTATGACAGCACCCAAAATGTTAACATCCCTATTGATACAAAATTGTTAAAATAAATCTTGTCAATATATGTTTTCAGACACCGATTATTTAGTGTCGTTTTGCTTTAATCCACCCCAAAGGAATTATTGATAAAACCTGGGTTACCCCCCCCCTCTTTTCCTGGGGCGGGTCGTAACAGAGGGACCACCAACCCAATGCACCCACACCTTGTTTTCCCTCCTAAACCAGGAAAAATTCATCCCTTTGGGAAGTCTGTCTCTAAACTCTATGGCATGAGCCTGTAAGTCTGATATATGTGTATTAGTTTTAGTTACTCTGGGCAGAAGGGAATGAGTTTACATAGAATAGTTCCTTCCCAAAGCTTGGCCAGATGGAGGAGGAGGCTGCCAGGAAGAGGAAGATGCCCCAGGACCCCCAGGCAGGTGAGGAGGAAGTCAGTGCCCCTTTGCCCCTGTCTTGTCCTGTATCTCCCAGCTGAGCATCGCCCCCGGCTGCAGGACAACCCCGCTGCTGCCGCCGTCCTGCCGGGGCCGGAGTTGGGGGGATGTCCTTGGCCTTCCCTCTGGGCCGGAGGCAAATCCCCTCCCTGTCCTTCTTCCCTCCTGCCCCAGGCCCCGAGCTGAGGACGGAGAGCCCGGAGGACAAATCCCCCCGGCAGAGCCTGGTGGGAGAGGCCATTTTGAAGGGCTCCACGGCGCAGGAAGGCAGCGGGGAGGGAAAGCCACGAAGGTACCCCAGGAGGAGGGTCTCCAAAGGCAGCCCAGGGTGCTCTGAGGAGGAAAGACCCACCCTGTGCCGGGAAGGCGACGAGAGCTTGAGCCAGAGCCCTGACCTGGATGTCCATGAGCAGCCTCACACTAGGAAAAAGCCCTTCAAGTGCTTGGACTGTTGGAAGAGCTTCAGCCAGAGCTCCCACCTGATCTGCCACCAGTGCACGCACACTGAGGAACAGCCCTACATGTGTGGGGAATGTGGGAAGAGCTTCATCTGCAGCTCCAACCTGATCTGCCACCAGCGTATCCACACTGGAGAACGGCCCTACAAGTGCTTGGAATGCAAGAAGAGGTTTCAGACCAGCGGGAATCTCCTCCTGCATGAGCGGACACACACGGAGGAGAGGCCCTTCCTCTGCACCCACTGTGGGAAGGGCTTCATCCAGAACTCCCACCTCGTCAGCCACCGGCAGATCCACAGTGGGGAGAGGCCCTACAAGTGTGACGAGTGTGGGAAGAGCTTCAGCCAGAGCTCTGCCTTGACCTCACACCAATGGACCCACCAGTAAGGGAAGCCCTAAAGGTGCCTCGACTGTGGGAAGAGCTTTGTCTGCTGCTCCAACTCCATCACCCATCGGAGAAGTGATGTCTTCCCACATTGGGAAGACACCTGGCTGGTGGTCTCCACATCCTCCTTGTTCCCCACAGGCACCTGGGTGAACACAGTGGGAGAAACATCCATGGGGTCACAAACTGACCTGGGAAATTCAGTGGGAAGAGCTGATTTGTTGAATTTAAAACAAAGACATTCAACAAAGACATCTAAAGCCCCACCATTTTACTGGGATTTGAAGGCATTTGGGGATTCAGGGGAATATTTGGGAGGATTTGGGGAGATTGCCCCAAAAATGGGGGTTCCCAGGCTGGCCAAACGGGGCCACATTCTCGTAGTTGTGCCAGCAGTTCATGTCCCCCTGATCCTGTCTGTTCTCCAGGAACTCCCCTTGGCTGTTCCAGTGCCTGGCCTGGGTCTCCCCACACGGGGTGTCCCCCCCAGGTACCCAAATCTTTGCTGAAGTGCCTGAGTTGCTCCCAGTTGGAGATGTACCCGGGCAGGAACCTCTCCCAGTCGGGGCCGTTCACTCGGCTTTTCCCAGGACCTGGAACAGCCCTGGGTGTGCAGGGACACAGGTCAGGGGGTGCCCCCCCAGCAGCCCTCAGCCCCCCCAGCAGGTTGGGAGCTCAGGGGGCCACCCCGGACCCCCTTTCCCACCCCCCTCTGCCCCACAGCTGCTGCAGCACCAGTTACTGGGTGGAGGAGTCCCCCCATCAGCCCCCCAGGGATGGACAGGGGGGTTGGGCACCTGTGCACAATCGTCACCAGAGCAAGCACACAAAGGGTTGCAGAAGCAGTGGACATTCCCAGGGCGGATCTGCCCCCTCCCAGAGCCCCAGGGAACTGCTCCAGGGCTCAAGTGATGGGGGACAGGGGAGACCCATGTGGGAACCCCCTGCCCTCTGTCCCCCTGCTCACTGTCCAACACCCCTTTTCTCCCCTCTCCCACCCCTTTCCCATCATCCCCACCGTCCCCAGCTCCCCCCCAGCTCGGTTTGGGGGTGTTTCTTCCCCCTGCCCTGCTCGGTTTCACAGTCTCAGCCCCCTCCTCGGTCACTTTGGAGGTCCCAGCCCCCCTTTTCTCCCGTTCTCCCCCCTTTTTCCCATTGTCCCCTGAAAGGCAGCTGTTAAATATTGGGTGCTGAAAAAGCTGCTGCATCGTGTCCATTCCAAATTAAGCCTGCATTTATTAGGAGGGACTGGCATCCAAACGGCAGCAAGAAGACAGGCATCCTCTCTGCAGCCGCCGATTTTCCCTCGAAGCAGGCAGGAAAACAGGACCAGCCCTGGGGTGGTCGGGGAGCAGCGCTGACCCCAAAGGGCTGCATTTCCCCTGCCGATCCTCCTGCTCTGCCCTCCCCCGGGGCTGGCTCTGCCTGGCGCTGGCCGGACGTGCCGGGGCTCCTCACTGAGCAAAGCCCTTGCGAAACTTGAGGGGCAAGTGCAGAGCCCGGCTGGTCTGGGAGGAAGCGACAGCAGCGCGGGCCGAGCGGGCGGGATGGGGTCCGAGCAGCGGCGGGAAGTTGCAAACTTGGCAGCCAAGAAGTTGAACTAAAGTGAAGCAGCTCCAAAAGCCCGTGGTCTTGGCGTGGGGGCGGGAGGAAGGGGAGCTCCGTGACTGCGGCCGGGGCTGCTTGGGAGCGGAGCGGCCGGGGCTGCCCCCGGGGCTCGCGGGGGCCAACGGGGAATGGACCAACGGACCAACGGACCAACGGCCCCTGCGCTTCGGCAGCAGCAGCGGCAGCAGCAGCGACTGTAGCGACGCGCTCTCGCTCTGACTCTTGTTCGTGCTCTCCTTGCTCGAGCTCTTCGTCCTCCTCTCCCTCTCCCGGTG